CTCGGGCGGGGTCTGCAGTGCGCAACGTAGCGGAGCGCGCGGGACGTGCCAGACCGAGCGAAGCAGGTGGCGCGAAGTACTCGGGACTCCCGCCCCCACCCGGCGATGACCGAGCACGGGGGCTCGGGAATCCCGCGGCGAAGAGGCCTGATCTGTGGGAAGATACGCCACAGGTCCACGTGTGTTTTGGAGCACACCTGGACAGAGGCCGAGACCTTCCTGGGCTTGTGGGCGTGAGCTTGCCGCTGGTTGCCAAGGGAACTCCCACTGCCAGGCGCGCCCACCTCCCCTTACCCCCTTCAAAGCTGCCCTGGATTTTGGAGGGGTTTAAAACTCAGAGTCTGAGTACCAGGATGTGGGGTCGTGATCCGTGCTGTTTGAAACAAGACAAGGAACCCCCCCGGAAATTAACGTCTGAATGTTAAACAAAACAAGAAAACCCCGACTTCATTTCCTCTGGAGTAATGGAGGAAACTTTAGTGTAGCCTTCCCTGTGGGCGATGTTTTTGGTGGTTTCTGGGGGAAATAAAAAACTCACAATGTGGTTTTTTTTGGGGGGGGGGCGGGGGGCGGGTGTTGAAGAAGGTTTGGTGGCTTCCTGGAGAATGAACTGTGCTTTCCTAGATAAAACTAGGGGGACCGTCATCCTATTGCCGAGAATGCTTTCGGGTCTTCGGAAGGGAAGGGAAGGTGTAACTCCAGATGCTCGCACGAGAAGCCCCAGATGCGGAACAGAAAGGTGGTTTCTAAGATCACAACATGCTCGCACTGCAATCCTGTTGTGGGTTTGGAACTGGCAGTTCGGAACTCCCAACACCTGCGCCGTGCATCATCGTTATTGGGACACTCGTGTGCATTAGTCAGTCCTTGCAACATCTTCCCGAGGGTGGACACCTGAAACCAAGGGATGAGGAAACGCCATGGGCACAGGGAGGTTAAATGGTGATTCCAAGCGAAGGAGTGGCCTGGTTGCACATTGAACCTGGGGTCTCCAATCTTGGACTTGACCCCGTGATGCCATTCTTTCCAGCTAGGCAAAACAGAATTGTAGAGCTGGGGGCAAACCCTAAAGTACAAAGAAGAGTAAGGTTGCCCCACAAGTTGCATGAATTGCTGGGTGTCGTGTCACTGGCTAATGGCAAAGCTACGCGTGGGACTGAGGGTCCTTTGCCTTGCTCCCAGCAAGCCTGCAGGACGGGGTCGTAACTCGGGGGAAGAAAGCATGTTTTCCATTTCAGATAACATTCAGAGCCACTGACCTGGCTTCTTAGAGACTGAGCAACACATTTAGAGGTGTTCCCAACGTTTGCTTATGGCACCATTCTTTCTGGAAGTATGGTTTCCTCTAACGAGCTTGTGTCATGGAATAAAAGACACGTCAGACACAAAATAACTCCCGGACGTCTGATAAAGAAAATATTGAGGGCCTCCAGTGTTCCTTGTCTGACTTAAAATCTTCCTACTCAAAATCTAAAATCTTTCTGGTTATTGTACATCTTGCTTGGGCTTCTTGTTAAACATCGGAAGTTGTAATGGTTGACGACTACTGTTCTAGAGATAGCATGACTTTTTTCAACTAACTTTTTTCTGCTTCTCAAGGTAATTCTATCCTGCGCATAGAGGATTTGGAAACCAGAAAAGTATAAAGAAGAAAGTAAAAAATTGCCAATATTTCCATGATCTCAAAATAACCACTGTTAACATTCTCTTTGTTACTTCTTTTGCTTCCTTTTTTTTTTTTTCTTTTTAGGTAGTCTTCACTACCTCCCAGCATGGAGCCCATCGTGGGGCTTGAACTCACGACCCTGAGTTCCAGACCTGAGCTGAGATCAAGAGTTGGACGCTTAACTGACCGAGCCACTCAAGCACCGCCCCCCCCCTTGTTATTTTTTAACGCATATTCGTAAACACAGGCATAGACTTTTTGGCATGACTGAGATTACATATTATACATAAGGGTCGGCACCCTTCTGTTGATTGTTTTTTAAAGATCAAAAAATTATCAAACCTATCTTATCAGCGAAGGATAATCCAATGTCATCAGCAATTTACTACAGCTCAGAATTTGAGTCAGATGCATTGGATTTCAAAGGTAAATAGAAATCTGGTTGGACAACTTACATCTTAAAGAAAAGGAAAAAAAAAAAAAAGAACAGAGAGAATGAAGAGGGAGAGAGAGAGAGAGAGAGAGAGATATGAAAACAACAGTATGTTGCCCCAGGGGGAATCTTTTGATTTGCAGCTTTCAAAGGCAACATCTGTACTCATCAGTTTTGAATGGACTTGTGTTATTCTCTCAAGTTCCCTATAATCAGTCTTTCACACAGAAAAATAAGGAGAAATCCACCAAAAGCAGTGGAATCTGGTCCCTTGGTATATCTGGAAGGTATACAACAGCACTCCCACTAAGGAAAGTCATTCCCTTCCATACATCAGCCTGAAACAGCATTTAACAACCCGTGTTCGGTTCCTCCGCCTGTCCCCACACTCCCAAAGTCTCTGAAATCTACAGCTAAGCGATTGCAAGTTTATGTGCCTTGACCACTGCTTTTAAAATACCCCCTGGTTACGAAAAGTGCTTCATAGACAGAATCCCGAAAGAACCCAGGTTATAAAGAATACTCTCTCTTCCTGGGAATAAAGCCGAGGGAGGAAATACTATCAGCCTGGCATAGTCTCAAGCTAATTATGAATTTGGCTTTGGCTACCTAGTCCGGAAAGGTTTCTGCAGTTGGCACTGGTTACGCATTGAGCCAGCTGGAGTCTGTACAAGGGGGAACAGTCCCATCAAGTTTGGGAACCAGAAGGACCAGGCTGGCCTAGCTGGGCTGCTGTCCTCTAGCCTCTCCCAAATGATGGCCTTGGGATCTCTTTATTGCCTTGTGTGGAGACAGCCCTCATAGGATGCTCTTACCATTAGCACAGACACACCATTCCACCTGCAGGTGGCTCAGGTGGATTTTTCTAGGCTTTTCTGAGAAGAACGCAGGGAAGTTTTTCTAGAAGGACAGCTCTCTGGTGGAGACAAAGGTAGGTAGAACAGCCTGTTGCGTCAGTACCGTGTTGGAGAAACAGATTAGGCTTTGGAATTGGGCAATTGGATAAGTTACTTAGTTAGCCTTGATCGACTGCTGGCTTCCCATCTGAAAACAGGGAGCGGGGGTGCGTAATGATGTCCACCTTTCAGGCTCATCCTGCGGGTGAGAGAGAGCCTGGGGCACCAAAGAGGGGGCTTGGAAGCTGTGGTGTGCTCAGCGAATGTTCCCTTGACTTCCCTCTCCCTCTGTTGTCTTAGATGTCCCATAGGTCTTTATACCCTAAGTGTGGGCGATTATACCAGTGGCTCAGCGATGCCCAGCATATTTCCCCATGGGCTCATCTACGTCTTCCATCCAGCCAATACCCTTGTGATTCAAGGACAGCCATCGGGACGGCTTTCACTCTTTCACTGGATAAACTAAGGCCGTGAATTCTCACGGTCTCTTTGCCCAAGTGCACACGATTAAGGAGAACGCCAGTCTTCCTTTGCCCATTTAACCGGTTGTTATTGTTGTTTTCAGTGTCTGCAAGGCAGTGAGGGGAGCGCAAACATACATGAGAGTTTTCAGTCCAGCGATGGAGAAAAACTAGCTTGGTAAACAGAAGTTTGAGTAGTCCCAACTCCCTACGGTCTGAATACAAAGCTCTGGGCAGGATGTGATACCTGCATAAAAATGAGGTATGAGCGTTCAAGAATGCCATGATCCTCGTTTCACAGATGAAGAAACAGGCCCAGGGAGGTTAAGTGATCTAATCAAGAGCCCAGTTAATGGTAGACCTGGAACTTGAACTTCACTCTTCTACCCCTGAGTGCATATTGCTCAACAAGGTCTATGCCACCCTCCACTGCCCTGTCCCAAGAACCAGTCACTAGCATTCCATCTGTGACTATGTTCCTGGTGGTTCTACTCATTAGCTGAGTGAACTTGACTTTGGTGGGCTGCAAAACAGGGATAAAAACGGAACCTGTCCCCTAAGGTTTCTCTGGGGACTCCATGATATGGCACAGTGACCGGCCCCTATTAAGTAATTGGTCGAGGTTGCCATGGGTATTAGCCACGGCGAACACTCTTTGTGTCTTTTCCTTCCTTTGTCTCTCCTTTCCAAGTTCCTTTTTCCCCTCACAGGGTTCTTTTGCAAGATACCGATTCTGCCCTCTTGTAAACACATGGCTCATTTGTCACTCATGCGTTCAGTCACTTCAAACATGTCTTTGATGTAGTTAGCCTTGGAGGAAGCAGAGCACAGCAAGTGCTCCGGGACGAGGCTACAGCAAAGCGCCACGCAGGGGGTGGGGCTCTGGCTGTGGAATTGAGAGGATCCGACCTCACCTCCCAGTTCTGGCGTGTATTAGCTGTGCCCTTGCCGAGTACCCCATCTTCCCGAACTCCAGTTTCCTCTGCTATAAAATGGGGGGGGGCTCCAAGGTCTAGTTAGAGAGTTATAATAAAAATGGAATGGTGGCACCTGGGTGCCTCAGTCATTCGTTAGGCCTCCGACTTGGGCTCAGGTCATGATCTCATGGTTTGTGAGTTCGGGCCCCGCTCGAGGCTCTCTGCTGTCAGCGCAGAGCCCGCTTCAGATCCTCTGTCCCCACTCTCTCTCGGCCCCTCCCCCGCTCACGCACGCTCTGTCTCTCTCTCAAAACTAAATAATTTTTTTTTTTTTTTTTAACGTTCTTAGTGCTGAGTAGATGCTCAGGGAATATTTTTTCGATCACCTAGAGCACGGAGCTTAAATGCCAGAGACTGCTTGGACGATCAGGGGAAGCTGAATGAGAGTTGTTCTTCCTCTTCTTAAATCTATTCTGTTTTAGAAATTTTAAATGGTTTGGAAAGGTCACGAAGAGATAACACCGTGAGGACGCAGTGGCTATGTATGTCTAACGTGAGTGACGTCGTGCTTGCTTCGTTCGGCAGCACAAACACTAAAGCATGATGACCTCCACCGTCATTTAATCATACTCACAAGATTGAAAATTGGAGACAACAGAGATGCCCAGCAAAGAGGGTTGGGGTGGGCAAACCAATAATGGTCTGATCGTGCTGCCATTGAAAATGTTTTAGAGGACAGTGAGCAACGTAGTCAAGATTCCAACTTTGTAAGAAATAATACGACAAATACCATGCATGCGTATATATCCCTTTTTAGAGGAAATAAATCAAGATGTTAGAAGCGGTTATTGCTGGAAAGTAGGATGACAGGTGTGTCTTTTCCTTTGACCTTTGTATTTTCAACTTTTTAATAGTAAACACACCATTTTTAAACTCAAGAACAATCCTGAATGATATTCAAATGGGCAGCCATCCACCCCACCAGACATCAGTTACTAAAGCGCGATAATGTCTCCACATTTTCTGCCTCCTGTTCCGAGCTCTGAAATCTCCCATCCTGTCCCGTCCCTGCCCAACTCTTCAGCTCAGAAAGTCAGAGAGAGACTGCCTTCTTTTTCTATTTCTTTCTCCTGATCCTCGTAATATTCTTTTGGGCATCTGAAAATTCCCATCCTATCTTTTAAAATTTTTTTAACTTTTTTTTTAGTTTATTTTTGAGAGACAGAGACAGCGCGTGAGCAGGGGGGAGGGCAGAGAGAGAGGGAGACACAGAATCCGAAGCAGGCCCCAGGCTCCGAGCTGTCAGCACAGAGCCCGATGCAGGGCTTGAACTCACAAACTCTGAGATCACAACCTGAGCCGAAGTCGGAGGCTTAACCGACCGAGCCACCCAGGCGCCCCTGAAGATTCCCATCCTCTGTTCTTGGAAATGCAGTGCGTGATCCACATTTAATTCCGGAAGGCCGGGCATTTAGGCAATTTTTATCAGCTACATTGTTTTGTTTATTATTAGTAGTAGTATTATTATTAAACCTTTTATTATGATTAGTTACGTATTTATCTCTTGAGAGCTAAAGTTTAAGTGCCCTGAATTACCTTTTCCCGACTTTTAAAAATTTTATTTTAGGGGCGCCTGGGTGGCGCAGTCGGTTAAGCGTCCGACTTCA